CTGCTTAATCATGACAAATATTAACTGCAAAATCGGGAAAAAGTGCAGAATCGCAAACTCCTTGCTGCGTTTTTCAAAATCGCACATCCACAGTAACCATGCACACATCGACTTATTTTTACTTAAGAAAACATCCCAGAATTGCACAAAAATGGCATTGCGCACACTCTTGACTTTATCTATCTAATCTGCTATTTTCTCATAAATTACAAAAATTTGCACGAAAAATGCAGGAAAATTTTGTGCATCTTTAAACTCGGTAAAAAGCACATATATGAAATTACCTGATCACGAAAAATTATATACCCTATCCAAGGATGAACATTTCTACGTATAATATAAATAAAATATCCAAAAACTTTTACCTCTAAATTATCTATCATAAACGTCACCAACGAATTCATAACAAAACATTAAAAATGGTTACAAATACTTAGTGTCAAATATTTAAATTATTTCCATGCACGTTTACTTCCACTCAAACATATACCAAATTGCTACAAACATATAATTCACAAAATAACTATCATTTAATTAAAATATAATTAAACCATGTACATGTCGACTTATTTTTACTTAATTAAACATCCCAGAATTGCACAAAAATGGCATTGCACACACTCTTCACTATATTCATGTACACTGCTTTTTTGTCATCAATTAGAAAAATTTCACGAAAACGCATGAAAATTTTGTGAATCTTTAAATTTGGTAAAAAGGACATACAGTCAAAAGTCGTTAATCCGGACTCATCGGGACTTCGGCGATTCCGGATTATAGATCATCAGTTTAAATCTCGTAGGATGGCATGCAGAAATGCTAAAATTAAAAATATGAAACCGTAATTTATGAAATAAAGAACAATTATGATCTAAAGGGTATCAAAATTTACAAAAAGAAAAAGCTTAATATTTATTTGTTTACTTAAATAAACATTTCTTCAATGTAAGTTGTTTAAGTTTTGCTTCGTTTCATGTGATAATACTTTCTCTTTAATTCTATTAAACAGACATTAATTTCTTGTTCAGTTACAAAGTTCCGCTGTTCAAGTCCTATAATTGCTGTGTCAAGAACACGACTAATTTGTCAATCGAAATTTTTTTCGTTTTCAATAACCTCTGTTACTTTTCTTCGCTATCGGAAGCGAATTATAATGACGAGGAACTTGTTTTAAATCATATCAAAGAGGAGCATTTCGAAATGAAATACTACATTTGGTAAGGAATTATAAGCCAAATAAAATAAACATCTGATCTTCAATTATAAGCCAAATAAATAAATAAAACATCTGCCCTGAAGATAAGGATAGTGCTGACAGATAACTTCCAATTCATTACGCGCCCGCCGCGCGGCGTTCCTCCCGCCGAGCAGCGTGAAATTGATAAACAGATTTCGGATTTCAAAACATACTTTCGCTTTAGATCCTTTACATATTAACAAATATATATCGGAAATTCTATTTGATATAATCGAAAGTTTAAGCTTACTTTTATAAAATTGCTCTTACAGTCTGCAAAAAATAATAAGCCGGATCCAATTCGAAAATTAAGGAACAACGCAATCATCAACATTAACTGAAATAGATAATTAGATAATTTTAGCTTATACGTCCATTATACATAAAACGCGCACGCGAAAACGTATTCTGCACTTGCGCACACTCATATGCGCAGTAGTAAAAGGTCTTACGCGCGCGCGTAAGCGCCTATGCGCATGTGTCAACGCGGCGCATGCGCAGAAAGTTTTTAGTTTTGAGGTCCGGATTATAGATCATTCCGAATTATGGGTGTCCGAATTAACGACTTTTGACTGTATATGAAATTACCTGATCGCGAAAAAGTATATACCCTTTCCAAGGATGAACATTTGCACGTATAAAATAAATGAAATATCCAAAAACTTTTCCCTCTAAATTATCTATTATAAACCTCACCTACCAATTTCTAACGCAAACATTAAAAATGGTTCCAAATACTTAAATTCTTTCCATGCACATTTACTTCTACTCAAACGTATTCCAAAATACTACAAACATATAACTCTCAAAATCACGATCATTAAATTAAAATATAATGAAATTAAAAAACACTACTTAAAATATAAATAAGCACATACATTAAATAATAAAATTAACTTACAAATCCTTAATTACTTTAAACTAAATTCATTGCTAATAAACATTTTCCAATAATAGCATATAATTTATTTACTCCTTACATTTAGAACAACAATGCATAAAATAATATCCTCAAATTATTAAAAATACTAACTTACCTAAATCTTCTACAGAATCTTGAGTGCATGGTGGATTCACAAAATGTCCATTTTCACCAGAATTTCTTGCACCGTCTATTCAAACTTATCTGTAATATCCTTCCTTTCACACAATCTCTCTTTTATCTCATTTCATTCGCCACATGTTTGAAAAAATTCATACTTATCCCCAATTAAGCATCTTTTCAATTACACATAAATGGAATAAAAATTTTGGATTTACTTTATATAGGGCCATGGAATCCAAATATTAAACAACACTGTCTTCACAGAAACATAGAATGAAACTAATGCTGTACAGCAGATATTTTTTTTTAAATTTACCCCCTTTTCCGATTAAAGAACGGTGATTCGTCCATTAATGTCACGACATATCTCATGATCTCTCATTTCCCTCACACAAAATAATGCGTAATCTTCCGATTGAACTGAGTACGGAACTGAGTACTTCTCACATTATTCCCAAAGTCCTAGGTAGTAACCTTTATCGCCTCCAAAATGTCACCCAAATACCTGTTACCATATTCCAAAGATCAGCCAAACAAATAAACATTTAGCTTTTTCTTTTTGTAAATTTTGACACCCTTTAGATCATAATTGGGCTTAATCCTAGTATACGGTGCACATGAGAGTTGGCGAAATTCGGGTTTAAGAGACTAATAAGCGCGCTAATTGTGGTAACCAAGCCGATTTTGGACGCTCTGGAGGAGAGTGCATTTGGGAGCATTTTCGTGCATGCTCAATTTACTCGTATATTTTAAATTGAGAAGTTTTGATTGGTGCAGATGGAAGAGAATAGTATACGGTGCAGCCTTGGCGCGATTTTGAAGTTCCGTGAATCTTCGGTCTTCGGCTGAACTGAATGAGAAAGGATAACGTATGTTCAGGTAAAATTTATTTATCTTTTAAAATAACAGTAGTGGTTCCGCCGAGTTTCTGATTGGTTAATATTTTTTAATTAATCGGTTTTTTTGGTCAGATACTGAATATGATTTTAGTTTGATAACGTCTTTTATTCTACAGTTCGAGTTGGTAACGTATTTTGTTCTACAGTTCTATTTGCTAACGTATTTTGTTCTACAGTTGGATAAACGTTACTTTTCGATTATGATGTGCAGTGCTATGAATTGCGAATATTTAAACACGAAATTTTTTTCGGAAGTTAGAACTGGAAGGAAAGCTTGCTGTAATTCAATGGGCAGTAGATGCCAGGATTGCTGCCGAATTTTAAAAATCGCGCCATGGCCGCACCATATACTAGGATTTGGAAGGAACGTGGAGTGCTGTTAAGCGTGGGATGAAGGGGACGAAAAAGGTAAGCGAAGAGTTTGACTCTTATTTGGTGGAATATATGTGGCGGCGCCTGAAAAATAATAAATCGTCATCTGAAAAAATGAAAGACTTTATATTTGCAATAAAAGCAATATATCCGCCACCCGAGTTTGAGGGCTATGGCATTTGAGTTATGATATAGACCATAAAACATATGCGACACTGAGCCCTGAGCCATGGTATTTAATTTATTATATTTGATATGTGAATGTTTTGTATTTGTTGCGATGCATGTTGAAAATTATATTTTTATTTGTTATAAAGTCTGTTAAAAATTATTTTCAATTTCCAAATGCTTGCTTTTTTTCTTGTGTCTCACCATATGCTTAGGATTTATTATCTTATGATTATCATTTTGTTTACTTTTTTTGCCAACTCAAACCTGTGGTGACACTTTACTTTGAGGTTGCCAAAAATTTGGCGACAAACATAAACGCATCATTTTGGTGTTGGCGACAATTTTAAAAATCGCGCTAAGGCCGCACCGTATACTAGGATTTTATCCATAATTGCTCTTTATTTCATAAATTACGGTTTCATATTTTTAATTTTATAATTCCTGCATGCCATCTTACAAGATTTAAACTGATGATCTATAATCCGGAATCGCCAAAGTCCCGACGATTCCGGATTAACGACTTTTGACTGTATATGCACTAAATATCACATTTACGCAGCTTGCATGTGTTTTTAATATCTGATAACAACGCCGCATATCGTCGACATCAATCACTCGTAAGTGAACTTGGCGAGTTAAAACTGAAACTGCGCCAAAGGATGCTTTGCAGAAGAAAATTCCTTGGTTATAATACATTCTATTTCTCATGTTATGTTGAAATACTTAAGGGGAAGAAATTTTAAAACACAGTTTAAAAACAAATAACTGCTAGAATGCTTAGTTACGAGAACAGTACACATAAAGAAATAGAAAGCCAACAAACTGATGAGGTGAGAAACAAACACAAATTACGAAAACTGTCCTAAAACATTAAAATAAATTATTGTTAACTATTATCCTGTGCTTTATTCTTATAACTGATTAATTTAGCATTCTTTTAACTGGTAATAGAAACTACCCGTTAATCTATACCGTTCTGTGAGTGATAAAATAATTTCAAGATTTTTTTCCCTTACAACAATATTTAAACTGAAAAGGCTGCAAGTTTTTATTTCTTGTTTTAAAAACTAGTTTCTGCCACTGAAGGAACTTGACACAACTTGAATATTTTTTATATTATATGTATGAGTATGATTATCTTAAAAGAGAACTACATAATGTTATTTAAAATTTAATTAAGTATTTCAATTGCTAATCAAACAATACTAATGCTTATTTTAAACCCAAAAGCAAACACTTTACACTTTATAAAAGTAATATTTTTAAATATACTTACAATATGATATATCAGAAGAAATCTATAGAAATAACATCATAAATGCTCACTGTAGTTATTATAGTTCTACATATGTCTCACCAGATTTAACATTTTCATAATGCTTACAATGATTTTTTAAATTAGACAGAAAATTAGTTTTATTCTTATGTGGTAGAAATTGATTTAATTTTTGAATAGCTTTGCTCATGACACTCCATTGAGCTCTTTTGTGCAAATCATTGATTACATGTGCCACATGCATATGGTTTTTCACCTGTACTTGTAAACGTGTGTCTGCCTACATGGAATTCTCATGCAGATGACTTGTTACTGATCAAAAGGCAGATTTCTCTTCATCATTTGTTTACACAGATTTATGTTCTATCCAAATGACTTGCTAGATACATAACTTGTCATTTCTTTCACCTGTGTGGATGTGTATGTTTTATCCACACTTTAATATAAATGACTTTTCACATACCTTATGTATGAGGTTTCTTGGCTCTGTGAATACGCATATGTCTTTTTAAATGATCTTTGTGACGAAATGACTTGTTACATACTTCACACTCATGTGGTCTCTCACCTGTGTGAATAAGGATATGTCTGTTTAAAACAGACTTATGACTAAATGACTTCTTGCATACTTCACACATATGAGGTTTCTCTCCTGTGTGAATACGCATATGATTGCTTAATTGATTCTTTCGAATAAATGACTTCTTACATACCTCGCATACATGAGGTTTCACTCCTGTGTGAATCAGCAAATGTCTCTTGAAATAAACTTTGTGTCTGTATGATTGATTACATTCTGGACATACATAATGTCTTTCATCTGTATGCATATACTGATGCTCTTGCAAAACACTTTTCCGTGCAAATGATTTATTACAAATGTTACACGCATACGGTTTTTCACCAGTATGTATAAACATATGTTTTTTCAAAGTATTTTTTCGTGCAAATGATGTTTTACATACTTCACACATGTAAGGTTTTTCCCCTGTATGAACACGTAAATGTCTTTGGAAATCTCCCTTGAATGCAAACGACAGACTACATATCTTGCATGCATGTCGTTTTTCCGAACTGTGATGTAGGTCCATGTGTCCTCTGAATCCAGTTTTCTTCACTGTTTTATTACATAGTTCACACACAATTTCCTCACCTTTATGAACATGCATATGGCGCTGTAATGCATCTCTTCCTTTCATTACTTTATCACACATTTCACATGCATACATCTCTTTTACAGTATGAATCTGCATATGCCTTTTTAAATTACCAGAATGAACACTTGTATAACCACATTCTGGGCACTCATAATGTTTGCCATGTATATACATATGATTTCGCAATGCTTTCTGCCCTATAAATGTTTTGTCACATTCCGTACATATAAAAGACTGTTCCCTCGTATGTAGACGTTCCTGGGTGAGCATATCACATACATGTGGTTTACTACCAGTATGAACATACATATGTGCCATTACTTGGTGCTTACTGGCAAACAATTGATCGCATATGCTGCATACATGAGGTTTCTCACCAGTTTGGCTACATATATGTGCTTTTAGAGAACGCTTATAAATAAATCATTTATTGCAATAGTCACATGCAAATGATCTTTCACCAGTATGAAGAACTAATAAGACCAGTCTACACGAAGGGATTGTCTCAGCAAAAGTCGTATGTAAGTAAAACACCGACACTTCAATGGGACAACTCATACAGACAAACAGACGTCTTTTGTTGCACCCGCTAAGTCTTTCTGCACCGATGGGCGAAAAATCAAGCATAGGTGCGAAGACGGAGTATAATGAAGAAGGTGAAACTGCCTAAGAGAAAAACGGTCCTAAAATGTCGCGTTCACGAGATGGCGCTGTTGTTCCAACTTAGCATTTCCAAATGTAAACAGTTATGGAGTAGCTAGACGGCTAAGCTTACTAGCGGATGAAAAAATTTTTATGCTTTTAATGTGATAGATTGCGTTATTATCAAAGTTATAATATTCTGCTCACTAATTTATTCCTCAAATTATAAAATTAATTTACAGCTTTCATGCTGCAAGGCTTGTAGTACTTTTTATGAATGGTTAATTTGAAGATATTTTTCAGTCCCTTCCCCTTAGAAAAATAATCATAATACTAGTAATAATACTTGCTGTGTATATGTTAAATTTAATTAAAATAGGTTCTTCGCGTCTCTCATTTCGTAAAATGCTTAGATACACAGCTTGATATAAACTGGGGCGAAATTTTAATGAAGCTTATAGAATTTTTTGTTTCAGTCAGTATATTTTCTTTACTATCATATCATAATCAGTTATTCTTTTTTTATGAATCAGATGTCAGTTTTGATTTTGATATTTTTATCATTTTCTGTTAAAAATTTCCATATCTTTGTTATTTGAGAAGTATGTTTCAAATTGATTTCACAAGATTTTAAAATAGAATTCGGATTTGAATTCAGTTAAGTATTCTGAACACTTGGTTATGCTGAACTGTATATTATTTATAAATAAATATTAAGAGTAAAAAATACTGAAACTAATTCAATTTATCTTTAATTTTGTCCTGCTTGAACTAACTTCTAACCAATAAATGCAGTATTTTAACTAAAAATATAATGCAGATCTTTTTTATTTTAAAAGTACATGTGCTCTTTTCCTCCAAAGGAAGAAAATTCTATCCCATTCAATGACCTGAAAGATGAATTTCTTATGTTTAGAAAAATTTTATCACAGTTATAATGAGATGATATTTTCTCGCTGCAAACTGGTACATGTAGCTTTAAAAAAAAATTATGCATATGTTATCTTTTGCTGGAAAAGATCCCCTATTTTTATTTACATTTATTGAACTGATTATTTACTTATAGAGTCTAATTACATTTGTTGTAAAACTACCAGTTTAATATCAGAATACATAATGTGTGCTTGCTGCGGTATTTAAAAAATATCATTGCCTATGTAAAACTAAAGTATGTTTTCTCTTGCAGTAATTATTTACTTTTTTATTCTCAATTTAACATCTCTTTTTCAACGATTAAAGACTCGCAGTGCAAGAAACAAGTTCAATTAAATAACAAAAATTTAGTAAAAATGTAAGAGTAATTATATCAATAATCCTGAAACAATCTTAACAGTATTGTTTTATATTTTTACACACTGAACTACAGGAGGCTAGAGTGATTCGTTAAATTTATGTTCAATTTACAAGCACGTTGTTCTTCCCACCAGCAGTTGAGCAGCAAAAGTCACCAAACACTGCCAGTTTAGTCCTGGATTCGAATCCCGGCAACAGGCTAGCTGTATGGGCATTTTCCTGGTTTTTCTAGGTAAAATATATATATATAAGCTAGTTTCCCTTAGAAATGAAGGTATCCTTACCCTTAGGCAGATGGCCCGCATTTTGTTTGGTGTAATTACATAGAGCAAACCAAACCTTTTCTTTTTGTTTGTGGCTTAGAATGTATTGCTGTTGAATGCGTACATGTCTATATAATTTTATAATAATTTGAATTCATATCGAAAACTATTTAAAAAACTCATTTAATTGCAATATACTCTATATTGAACTGTTGGGAAGGAAATATTTTCAATTTTTCAAGATTCATATGAGCATGCTGAAAACATAGACATTTAAATAATGTGCCTTCAAGATCTTTAATTAACATATTATTGTAAGTAAAATGTGGAGTATTAGCCAGATGCAGTATTCACCAGTAAAATATTGTCGCCAGATGAAATCCCTTATCTGTTTTTAGAGGACTGTAATAATTCCAAGGACATAAATTTAATGTGACCTCATCAGATATTCACCCCTTTTCGAGGGGAGGAGGAAAAATTAATTATGTGCATAATAAAAATTCTGGTATCATAATGCCAGCCTCATATAAAATCAAGACAATCACTATGGAGCTTCACATGAGCAACTTTTTATGCAAAATACATGTAAGTGTATGATATAAATATGGTACATAAAATTTTCTAATATACCGTATTGCAAGTACACAGTACAGAATTGTAAATGAAGTATTTCTATGATAAAGCAAAATGCAATTTTTGTACAGCCCCAGTTACACTTAATTAGATAAATCACATACAGGATGAAGAAACAATACAAACCATTATAATCATATCATACCGGGAAATGTTGAAATCAAACATTATGCACTTGTATATGTTAGGCACAATGTTGTTGTACCTCGAAATGATATTTAAGGGTGATCAAGCCTTAAACTATTGATTATGCGATATGTTAGGCACAATGTTGCAGAATCTCGAAATGATATTTCAGGGTGATCAAGCCTTAAACTAATGATTATGCTCACATAATCGAGAAATCAACAGAATACACATAACAATAAATTTCAAACAATATTAATTAAACATATTGCATAATTGTAATAATGTTCTATGATAGTACAAAAAATGAGTGAAAGAAAAAGAAATAAGTCTACTGTCTATTTCTATGATCATATTGATGTATAACTCAAATCTCTGAGGAATGCAGTGTGATAATTTAATATCCAAGGATTTGGTAATCGATTCAAACACCGTCAAGGGTTATATGTGCCTAAATCGATTAAGATCATTTCTGGTCTTCCAAGTATATATATATTGTAATAAATGTACTGTAACAGTTTCAGCAATGAGATTTTTGAGAGGTCATAAAACAAGAGGTTTAGAAAAATTATCTAAAATAGTGAGATCATGTCCACAATTTCGTACAGAACGACCAATATATATGGAATTTAAGTCATTTAGATATTTAGGTATTCTAATAGCTTTAAATGGAATCTGTTTAGGAATGAAAGATTTGTATTTGTTACATAAATGATACGGGAAAACAAAATTATTTGTGTCATTATACATACTCTTCCAAAAGAATCTTTCGATAAGATATCATACGTTTTCAGAACTCCAAGATGGGATATATGAGAAATTTCTCATATTCACTCGATTTCAATGCTAGTGGGACGACAACTAATTCAGCATTATTTCATTTATTCAAAACAAACATAAGAAGCTTATTGAATCATTTATGAAGAAATTATGTACTTTTGTTGAATTAAGCAAGGAAGGATTATTATACATACCCTTCCAAAAGAATCTTTCGATAAGATATCATACGTTTTCAGAACTCCAAGATGGGATATATGAGAAATTTCTCATATTCACAGGATTTCAATGCTAGTGGGACGACAACTAATTCAGCGTTATTTCATTTATTCAAAACAAACATAAGAAGCTTATTGAATCATTTATGAAGAAATTATGTACTTTTGTTGAATTAAGCAAGGTAGGATTTTTTAAAATGTTGGTAATTGCTGATTCATTTGGATCTAAAGTGAATTTGTGTTTCAAATAAGCATTCCAGTCTAATGATATAATATGACAATAATTCAAAGGACATAAATTTAACGTGACCTCATCAGATATTCAGCACATTTCAGGGAGGGGGAAGAAGGAGGGAAAATTAATATGTGGATAAATAAAAATTCTAGTATCACGGTGCCAGCCTCATATAAAATAATGATGATCATTATGGAACTAGCAGTCAGAGCTTGCGTATAAACCCCATTTTTTTGCCAACGGTAAATATCGCCAATCTGTAACACTGTGGTCTGGCAATCTGATGTAAGTAGCAGAATTGAATTTTCACATAGTTAAACACTGCTTTTTTATTATTATTATATTTGCAGTGTTATTAAAATGGCAAGCAGACAATAAGATTAGATAACTGTAGCATTTTATCATTTTTACTGTAAGACTAGCATTTTATCAATGTTTAAAATGGGTATTTTGAAATTTTTATGTGTTAAATCAAAAAATTTGTTGAAAATTTAGATATTTCTTAATTTTTTTTATGAAATGTAATTCAGATTTTTTTTTCCTCTGAAGAGGAAGATGCAATTCCAATCAACTTATTTACATTTTTGGAATTATTTTTTTTAAAATTTGTTGCTCTGAAATTATGGGAGAAATTATTCAATGACTAACAAATTATTTGATTCAAATCCTTAGAATTATTTAACTTTATGCAATAACCCTTCTTGAGAGTGAAATTTCCGTTCAATTTAATTCACTTAAATTTTTATACTCCCTAATTTTATGAAAATTTTCTGATGTGGCAAAATTATTTTTGAAAAACATCAAATAATTATCAGTATATGTTATCCTTGAGAAAGCACACATATGCACATCAAAAGAAAGACCACTTACCTTTATTTCCATCATAAAATTATTTCCTTAATGCAAATTTAGAAAACTTATAATCATACATGTTAAAAATTTATTGATAAGATCTTCACAATGCTAATATATACACAAATACTTATTAATGATACTGTGTGTGCTCCTCGAGAAATTCCATGTCTCTATTTTTCTAGAAGCACAGAATCCTATAAAAATATTAAGTATATATAAATATCAGAATTCAGTTACATACAAAATGAAAATATACTTGTTGCATGTATTTTTTTACATTACTTTAATGCAAATTTAATTTGAAAATTGTAATATCAAATTAAAATTTAACTGCAGCATGTAACACTTGTTCTACAAATTTAAATTTAAAATCCTTGTGCATAATGGATCTCACTTTGCACTGTAACAAGATTTAAATCTTAATTTTTAATAGCCATTCATTCAAGTGATCAGTGGCATGATTTCATATTCATAACTTATTTAATATGCTGAATTTATCTTACAGAAAATCAATTTTTCATTACACTTATCTGCTGTTATGTTTTTGCTCAATCATACAGCGTTGTCTTCTTTTTCCATTTATTATAAAAACCTATTTCAAACTGAAAAGAAAGGGGAAAATGAGTTTACCTTCTTTTCTGTAAATGAAATAGAAAGACAAATACTCTATCATTCTTGTATAATTTCAGAAATTTATTTAACTTTAAAATCTAACGATTGCATACTTTCATGGACGAAATGCAGATTGCACATAACTTATCTGCAATATTTAACTAATTTCCAATTTAATCCTTTTTTATAAGCATACAGTAAATATTTTCTTATTTACTAACAATTTAGACGTTCTGAAAAGTTATATAAATTCGTATATATGATCAGGTATAATATAAATGTTGCTCACCTTTGGAACTCTAAATATATTTGGTTTCTTGATTCCCAAGCTTTTATTCTTCAGTCTAATAGTTCTATATTTACTATTGCGACCAGGGACGAAACAGTTTCCATTCTTTGACTTTTCCATAATGAAAATTAATATTAAATCAATATTTTCGCTATTACTGTTTATGTCAAATACTAGGAAAAGACGAAAAGCTAACGATTGCAGCGCCCTCTATAAATAATGCGGTAAAAGTGGACCATTTTTGGGAAAAGTCGTAATACCAGTTTCCCCTCCTTCTTTATACTCCGTGGGTGCGAAGGAAAGGTATAAAGAAAGGGAGGCAATCTCGTATTTCAGAGGAGAGTAAAAAGGAACTTCGTATATTTTATACGAGTTCGAAAGGCCAGAAAGAAAAGATGGGAAAAAATAAAGTACAAAATTAATGGCCCAAAAGTAATGGAGAGGGAAAAAAATTACATTTATAATTTAAAAAAAGGGGCCATAGAAAGAAAAGGAAAGGAAGTAAGAGAATTTTCTTAAAAGATAAATAAATAAAAAAAAAAAAACTAACGAATGTGTCCATGAGTGTTGTCAAAAAGAGAAGGAAATTATTATCATTTGCATTAAATAGAGTCTTCCAGGTGTGTATAATGAGTGTGTTTTGTAAAGCTGAATAGATGTGAAGATGGGGAAAAATTAATAATAAAAATATAAATATTTGGGGTCCAGTGACATAACAGTATGAGTCTAGTTAAGAACCTAACTTTTGCTATAACAGGGAAACTAAAATTTAAAAAAAAAAAATTAACATGGGAAACAATATGTTAGCCTCTACCTTGACACACAGTAATAAAAAACACATAAGATCAAAATACATATAATATCATGCAAAATTATATATTAACTAAAGTAACATCATCTATTGCGGTTTTCAACATATTCATACTTTATTCAGAAAACACCATCAGACAAAATCATAAATTCAAAACAGTGCGAGAACATATCAGCAAAAATAAATACGTAAATAAATTACAGAATCTATTTTAATTTTAATAGTAATGAATTAAAAAAAATAAGCATTTTATTTATCAATTCAGCCGTCATAATTTATTATATGTTTACTAGTTTATCTAGTTGAGGCACACAGTATTAATATATGCTTTTAATTCAAATAGATAGTAAATTAAAATGAGCATAATAATAATGAACATAATAAATAAATGAATTTAAAGGTACTTTATTGACAAATATTTGATTTAGTTTAGAGAAAAGAAGTTCTACTTATCTGAATCTTCCGTCTTCGTGTTGTAAAAGATTGCAAGGAATATAAGACCTTTAACATAATAAATAAATGAATTTAAAGGTACTTTATTGACAAATATTTGATTTAGTTTAGAGAAAAGAAGTTCTACTTATCTGAATCTTCCGTCTTCGTGTTGTAAAAGATTGCAAGGAATATAAAACCTTTAAGTACAGGAGAACATGGGGTTTTGAGAACGAGACATTCTAGAGGCTATTCGCGAAAATTTTTCTTAAGGAAATGAACATTTTCTGAAAAACACCTTTGAAAATTTAGGAGCTCTTCTAAGATCCTGCCTCCATCGTACGTGACCACAGCGCCCTCCCGATGGGAGAACTTGCGCTTCGAACCTTCGAAGCGACCGCAGCGCTTGTAGCGTTGGCGATGTGGAAACACAATCAGTAAAACTGCGCATGCTCCTTTTCTTTTCAGTCATTGGATGTTTTCTATTCCAGATATTCTACAGGTTTGTTTGATTCTACCCAAATCTTGTTAGCTGCTAACGTGCATTGGTTGTGTTAATTATAACTTATTAATTTTGTACTTTTTAATTACAAAAGGCTCTTTTCAGAACCAATTTTATTTAAATTTTTTCTAATGGCGTATCGATACTGCCGATTTAAGGATTGCAAGAGTAAGATTTCGTCAAAATCTGATGGAATACATTTCTACACGTTTCCTCGAGACGAACAAAGGTTAGTACTCAATTATTTTTCACTTTTGCTATTTGTAAGGGGATTCGAAATGTGATTATTTTATATTTAAACGTGAGAATAATTTTGTCGTGCATGGTATGGTTCATAAAAAATTGTGTGTCCATAAAAATCTATTGGTTAACACTGGAAAAACAATTATGTGATTTACAGTAAGCATTTTATCAGCAACATTTAGGGCATTTTAGTAATGTTTAGTTTATTTAAAATTTATGTAGTAAAATTTTTAATAAAAAATAATAATAAATATTTTTAATAAAAAATTGTATGTATTGGGTTAAAAAATGGTCTCATTTAATTCATAGACTGTTTTTGATCAACCCTGAAACCCTGTGGTATAGTTGCGAGTAAAGTTTGTGGATATATAGAAAGAAATTTAGATCTTATCAGTAAAAAAGTCTCTTAAAAGCATAGAGGAATCAATGCCATACTTAATGATGACGAAAATTTATAATTGGTGTTCAACATAAAATTATGAAACTTAATGTTAAATCTATGTACAGGTTTTGTTCCCAGTACAAGTGTCCCACTCATCGAGGTGTCCAACTTAAGAGGTTTCACTGTATTAAAAATTCAAGTACTTGCTAGAGAGAAAAGAAATGCATTTGTACTGTAATTTTAAGATGCTAATAAATTTATTGATTTCGTATGTGTATGTGTGCAACGTTGTAATGTAAACTCTTAGGTCTCATGCAAAACTAGCTTACAGTAGACTTGAAGCGACTATTCATTTTGTCTGATGTGAACGTAAGGTCAGATGACTTCAAAAATTTAAAAGCACTTCCTTCTTGCTCAGAAAATACGCCAACACTTGTTTTGAAGAACTAAACAATGCTAAAATAAACTCAAATATTCAATTTGAAAATACTGGCTCATGATTTCTACACTAACTTAGACCAACGACAACCAGAATGGCAAGCCCGGGTTTTAGAATGCAATACTATCAAAGTGACGAGCACATAACAGAGTCTGCTCTAAAAGCACATCCTCCCTCACACACACTTTTAGCCTCAAACCTATCTACTTAAATACTGTAACTTATTTGCATTCTGGTGAGGAACGAGAAAAGTAGATTTGACAGTAAAAATTCAAATAATAAAATTAAATGGTTAATTAACATAAGAACCTTACGTTATAGATAATTCAAAAGGCCTTAGCAATCAAAAGGTTTGAAATAAACTACAATTCTATAATTTTGAAAAGTTAGTAATGTTTATTAATAATTTTTAATTATTGTATGTTTATATATAATCCATGTATTCTTCATTCTTTTCTTTTCAGATGCCAAGCATGGGTTAAGGCTTCCCAAAATGATAAGCTCATTGGCGTTCCGGCTTCTGAGTTGTATGAAAAAGCATATCTCTGCATGTTTAATTTTCAAGACTGGTGTTTTACAAACGTTACTACGAAATATCGTCTAGTTCACAATGCTGTGCCATGTTGTCCGAAATCTCACGTAACAAAGAATGCAGTTTCAGATCAACAGGTGCCTAATTTAAGTGACACTCCTTTCTCAAGTGCTATGGATATCATTTATCATTTAATATCATGATTATGTTATTTACAGTGTGAAAGGAAGTAAGATAAAAAGTTCATCATGAAACAGAATCGCTTCATCAATCAATGTTCTCGAGCGGCATGGTTCAGCTCCATCCAACGCCACGTTCTCACATCATCGGAATGCAAGTCTGTCCATTTCTTCACGCAGCTTGAAGAAGTATCTCGCTGCTGTCGCTATTGCCAGATTTAGGAAAAGGCGGACGAGTTATAGGAGCGAATTACCACATTTATAATCCCCAGTTCCCGTTCAAGGACCAAGTAACCGAGAAACACCAGTAGTGAATAGGGCCCAAAGTCGCATTATTCAGCGAGGAAACGTACGCCCAGAAAATCAGTATTGGCAAATACTGTTAAAAAATATCGGGACTTGGCAAGGCGACTAAAATTAAAACTGGCATCTTCAGAGAGAAAATCTACAGCTCATTCTTTTGAAAAAACACTATTTAGTCAAAGGTTTAACAAAAAATGTTCATTTATTCAGCGGCAGGTAATATTGAACACTCAAAAAAACAAAAGGCAGGCGTTTTACACAGTCTGACAAAGTTGATGCCTATCGCATCTACAGTAAAAGTAGATAAGCATATCGTGTTTTAAAAGAATTTCTTCAACTACCAGATGAACGAACTCTTCAGCGTTTTGTGTCATCAAAGCTCTTGTACACAGAGATTAGTGCAGATGTCACATTTGCATTGAAACAGGTTCTACAAAATAAGGAGAAAGATGAAAAAAATGTTTGCCTTAATCTTTGACGAAATATCATTGAAACCTTCTCTGGTGTATGACCAACAAAAGGATCACGTGGTTGGATTTGAGGACTTTGGTGGTTTACGAAGTGATTCATTTGCCAATCATGCACTGATAATAATGCTGAGAAGTTTGACTAGCAACAAAAATGTACCACTTGGTTTTTACTTCTCAAGCCATGCCATGAATGCAGAACGACATCGAGATATCATAATGGAGGCATTGTCTTCTGCTAATGCTCTGATTTGTGACCAGGGTGGAAGTAATTGTAGATTGTTTAGTCTCCTAAGAACAGAATCTGAAAAGCCATTTTTCTATTTTAATGGGCAGAAGGTTTTTTGTTTGTTCGATCCGCCACACCTTTTAAAAAATTTACGACGGAGCCTTATGAAATATGACCTCGAGACTTATAAAGAACTTGTGTCATTCAAACACATTCGAGACTTTTACACAGTGGATCAAACACTTCTTGTTCGCTGTGCACCAAAAATTACTGATGCATACATATACGTGGCTGTATGAATTCCATGAAAGTTGCGCTTGCTGCATAAGTGTTTAGCCACACAGTAGCAGCAGGAATGAGTATGTGTCTCCTGTTTGGACTAACAGAAGCAAGTGCTGCTCCAACAGTAGACTTTATACAAGAGATAGATAATTTGTTCGATTCTATGAATGGAATTCGAAAAAATCCATTAAGGGGGAAACAGTTGCATTGTGCTGTAAGAGAAGGTTCTGAACATGCTAAATTTTAGACAAACATGCTCATTGACTCATGGGGTTTTTTGAAACCACTTGCACAAAATCAAGGAGGTCCAAAAAGGCATGTTGCAGGATTAGGTAGCAGAAAAGGTTGGATCCAGACAATAACAGCCATGTTGCAGCTTTCGGAAGAGATGCTGAAAGAACGAGGATTCTTTATGACAAAGAGATGCAACCAAGATTGCCTTGAAAACATATTTAACTGTAGCCGAGGAAGTGGTGGAAACCGCACAAATTCATCGGCTTACGAGTTTTCATTGGTATTCAAGATTGCATCGCTAAATTCGTTCCGATGTAAAAGTAAATTCTCCAACTCTGAACCAGATGGGGATCAGTTTATGTTTTTTATTTTGGCTCCTGTACCTCCATCTATCTGCAAGTATAGAAAGTAAAGGAGATGCAGAGGAGAACGAACAAAGTAGTAGAAATAATAATGATGTTGATGACAGTTTAGTCATGGACTGTGATTCTTCCTGCTGTGATGCAAGTTTTCAAAAACTTGATAATTTATCACCAAATGTAGTTGCTTTAGGTGAGTATTTATCCAGAAGAGTATGAGATACATTGTGCAATTCTTTGACTTCTTTTTTTTTGGTTATGTGGCTATCTTGAAATTGTGCCTTCCTGGCCCCGATCTTAGCGTCAAAAACGAATTGCCAAGAAACAAGGGGCACCCAATTGTAAACGCTTACCTTGATGAGTTTGATTAAAAAGTAAACAGCATATGTGAAATTTTTAGATAATAAATGCTAAAGATATGTTGATTTTTTTCTTTATGTATTTATTCAGGGTTACCATGTGCTGATATATGAAGAGCCTTTCTCCAAATAAGTGTTTCACCCATTAATAGAACTTTTTTAAGGTTTGATAGAACTTTTTCATTGGTAACTTATGAAATATTTATTGTTTTCTTTTTTAACTTATGAACTATTTAAATTATTTTTACAAGTTTTTAAAATAAAAAGTTAACTTAGGTGAGAGGGTGTCAAGATGACCGTTTATCTAATATTATTGTTTTATGTAATTTGGAATCTTCAAATTCTAATAAAAAATAACATTTCGTTTGTATTACACATATGCTTATACTGAAAGTTTTTCATTAAAAGTTTGTCGATTTCTTAAAAATAACTGCTTCCCCATTCTATTTTTCAAACAATAACTTCTATTCCAGAATAATGCTTTTTAAAACAGTAAAGCTGTGTCATTCATGAGATCATAATTTTTAAACAATTTAAATGCTGGAAAAAATCCAACTTTTAAAAGTTTATGCATTGCATTAAAAAGCAGCAAATTTCATTTCTAATTTTGTTTATTATAAATGCCTTTCTGTGTTCGTGACTGCAAATATTTCATATACACTAAAAGTCATTCGTAGTATTATTAGTAGTAGTATTTCATATACACTAAAAGTCACTCGTAACTCGTACTCTTTTCATGTAATTAAAAAAGGAATTATTTGGGTTTGACTAATTTTGTGATACAATTTATTGCTGAAGAAAATTGTAGTTCAGTATACAAATATTGTATAGCAGGTTATTTTAATTTGGCAAAAAATTAACTTGAAAGTTATTGAGGAAAACAACTATTATAGTTCTAGTAGCATCTTTTTGGAATTGAAAAGTAAGTGTACAGAGAAATAAGACAAAATGAAAAATATTTTCAAGATATTAACAAACAAATGACTTAACGAACAACTTACTTTACATGAAGTTTATGATTTTTTTTTTTTTTTTTTTGAGAATTTTTGGATGAATACTGAAAACATAATTATTTTAATTTTCTATTTGCTATCTCTGTCAATTTGCATATGTTATCAAGGTCTTAATAAGCTTATCATATCAGTATATTTTGTTTTAGTTATTTATATTAATATTAGTAATAATAAAATTATTAGTATTTTTTCAGTCTGTTTATCTTGAAGTTATAATTATTTTCTGTATTAAAAAAGTATCTTCCTAAAAGGTGATGATTGGTTAAATCATGCTAAACACTTTTAAAAATACATCGGACTTTAATATTTTTAATGAAATATGCTTTATACAAAATAAACATATGTTCAGTAGAAATGCAACTATTGTATCATTATTTAAAATATATATATATATATATATATATAGTAAGATTATCTTTTATTTCCGAACTGTTCTTTTATTGGAATTTTCGAACGAACCTACAAAGTTACAAGTTAAATTTTTTGGTGAAGGAAGAGAGAGAAAAAAAAAAAAAAAAAAAAAGAGAGATGCACTATTTTTTCACATATAAATCAATGTTTTAAATCTAGTAATTCTTCAGATATAAATTAATGTTGTTAATCTAAAAATTCTATTAGTTTATAAATGAAACCGATTAAACGTCGCCGGTTTTCAAATTTAATTACAATTGCTTTAAGCAACGTTCCTCATGGAAGTAAGAAAGGAAGGAGGGACCAAACCTGACCTAAGAGCACTGCCTCCGAAGCTTTGGTCTCCTGATGGGGTGTTTTTACTTCCTTGTACGAAGTAAAAAGGAAGTATTGTAATCGCGAAAAGTTTCAGGCAGCATATTTCAACGAAAATATCCATTTTGACCGCTAACGAATGCAATTTAACGATGTTTTTGCTTGATATCTGTACGTAAAGACAGAATAAAATACTCTTTTCCTTCAAAAAATTATAAAACTGCTTTAAAATTAATTCTGAAGAGAATTTTTTGTGGCGTCTGTACGAACGTATGTACGTACGTGCGTATCTCGCATAACTCAAAAACGAGTAGCCTCAGAACGTTGAAATTTGTATATAGGACTGCTATAACATGTAGATGTGCACCGCGTATTTTGGTTGCAATCAGCCGCACCAAACGTATATAAATATATTTATATATATATCCACTCTGTTACCCGGCTCAGTGATCTCAGTTTCTTTACTCTTATATGTTTGTAAATTGTACATTTTTTGCTTTAAAAATGATTGTATTATGTTGTTTTTATCTTCCGGTTAAGGTTTTTATGCCTTTAGTAAATCTGCATGCAATATTTTTAGAATTATCAACAATTTTAAAGTTGTCTAAGTGCCGCTAAGCCTTTTTTTATGGCGGCCATTGATGTTTACATTTGAAACAGGAGACTAGTGGATTTGTTGCCAGTCTAGAGAAGCTTAGCTTCGCAACAACAAAGATAACGCATTAATTTATTATTGCCAATTAAATCATGCTTAATTCTTTCTGGAATTTTTTCGAGGAAACAAGTGTTTAAGATTTACTTCGTAATTTTTAATATAGATATTTTGAGTTTTTATGTATTTTTGCCTTTTCGCGAAGTGAGAACTGAATTAATTAAATGAGAAATACTCAATCGTCTGTGAAAAGCTGTTCCTTTTTTGTTCTGTTTGCTTAATTTCTTTTATACATCATTCTAGCTTTATTATAGTATTTGAATAGAACATGTGGCAACGATTAGATAATTCTATTCTTTAAATGATATAAATTTTGTGCATTATGAGTTATAATATGAACGAAATATATAAGTTAACTCTTATATAATTATTAATACTGTTAAGTGAATCTATCGCCAGAGTGTCGCTATGATAAACAAATACTAGAGTGAATTTTAAAGAATGCATTTATTCTATTGTGGTTTATGCGCTGTCGACGAAGTAGATTTAATTCAATCCAATAAGTTTAAATGAAATGCAAGAAAAAATGCGTATAATTTAATATTCCGTACGAGGAAGTCATGTGGTGTACACATCAGATTTTTTGTTTACATTCAGAAGCTCTCTTGACAGCGCTTTGATAGTATTTCGACGCACGACAGTTCCACAGCATTCATTGTGTGATGGATAATAGCAATTCGTATATTTTAATGACATTAATGCAAAAATCACATCTTTTATTATTGATGGTAATATAACAACAACGATTTTGATTATGGATTTGTTTTATAAAATTCTAAGCTATTGAACTACAAAAATATAGATTGTTAGCAAAAATGTATGCTTAAAAAATGAAAAATACCTTACAGTACCTTTAAAGGTATATGTCTTTCGATACCCTTTATAGAGTATTATGATCTTATCGGAAGACAATTATATATGTCTTTTGATACCATTGACAGAGTATTCGCTACTTTCATTTTATGTTCCAAAAGCCAAAATGTTTTAAATAAAAATAATTTTTTTTTGTCATCAACATATTATTGTAAAATGTACTTTTTATAAATTTTTAGAGGAGAGGCTTTATAAGTTGCTCATTCTAAACTCATCATTTTATTTGTATATAATTGAAAAATAATCACTTTGGGTTTACACATTTTACTTATATGGGTTAATTTAAAAATAAAATTACCCATCAAAAGATACAATCCTCATCAAAATTAATAAATATACACAACAGATATACCAATAAGTTAACTTTTCCTTTATTTGTAACCACACATTAGTGTAAAATTATGTATAGTTTTATACAAATGCGTGGAACAGAAGATGGATGGATATATTTGCGAATTCCATGGAAGTACCAAGTGCGGTTAAGATGATGTGAAAAATTTGAAAATGGCGTAATCAACGGAGGTGAAAACATTTGTATAGCCCTGCCAAACGAGGTCGGATTATGAATGGCCTTCCTATTAATTTATTCTCTTATTGATTATTGATTATTATGAATGGCCCTCTTATTGTTAATTTTTTCCCAAACAAGTCTTCTTTTCTCGGAAATTAGAGGTTAATGCTTGCTTTTTAACGTACAGTCGGTCACAAAAGTATTTAAACACCGGTACCCATTCAGAAAAT